TTTTCTATGTTTAGACAAGTGCCATTATGTCATAATTGCCTACAGTATTCACTACATAAATGTGCTATAGATTGTAGCACAGGAACAATATGTCCTACCATACACTCATATACCACAGGTATATAATAGGCTATGCTTACACTTACTTAATGTAAGTAAGCTCTGTGACATTTGCCCAAGGATGAAATTTCATAAAAATATACCTCCACTGTTAAGTTATAGATGACTTTATTCTTAAATCTCTGACCATCTTCAGATATATGAAGGAAGTGAGTTCAGATGAAGGCAGAAGCTTACAAGTGCTTACCAATGGTACCACCCAAAGCCATTGCTCCAGACATCTGAGCTAACAATTCTAGATCTGGTTTCAGGCCTCCAAGAGTGGCTGCCAGGCCTCCAGCAACCCCAATCATGCCCAATGCATTGCCAAGTCGAGCTGTTCCCTGTGTGGAAAGGCCGCCCAGGGCACCAACACAGCACAAGCCTGAACCCAGGTACATGATCTTTTCAAAGGAAAGAAGAGAAACAGATTGTTAAAATCTTCAGTGTATTAGCATTAGACAAGTTCTCTCTTGTGGAACATAACTCTCTAAATACAATTTAGGTTCAGATAATCAACAGATAGATCTGAGCTCTTCTTTCAATATCTCAAAATATTTTTCTATCCACTAGGAATATTGCCACATTAAATACTTTAAGTTATACTTGCAATTATGCCATTTATATAAATTGATTTCTTCTGGATTTGTTATCATATGCAAATATGTAAACGTACCTAAACTTAAATGAAATTATCGCTAGATTTTAAAAAACTATCCCTACCCAAATGCTGTAAAATACCCAGTCACTGATATCAGAGGCACCAGGAACTGTGCGTATGCATCACTGACACTGTCAGTCTCAGAAAAGTCACATGAGAAAAGAATTATTATCTTCATTTCACAAAAGGGAAAGACCAAAACTTAAAGACGTTATATAATTTCTCCAAGGTAAGCCATCATCAAATGGAAATCTGGAATTCAGACTTGAGTCTCTCTAACTCCTGCTCCAACTCTTCCCCAAATAGATTTTGTCATTCTAGCAATACTGCATTATTGGAACATACAAGAAACAAAGAGAGACACAGCGACACTCACTGGAAAGAAATGGAAAATACATAATTCACATAAAAGCTAAGGCTCTACTGTATTTCACCCAGGAGCTTTCAAAATTCAGTGTGATTACTCCTCTTTTACTTTATAGCAGCCTAAATGTATGTGTGTATGTGTGTGTGTATGTGTGTGCAGGTATAGGGTGTGTGTGTGTATGTGTGTGTGTGTGTGTGTGAAACTGTCCCTCAACTGTCCTATTTCAGGTGCCATCCACTTTGTTCTTTGAGATGGAGCCTCTCACTTGCCTAGGGCTCAGCAATTAGGGTAAGCTGGCTGGCCAACAAGCTCCAGGGATCTGCCTGTCTCCATCTCCCTAGTGTTGGGATTACAAACACACACGCTATCATGCCCAGTTTTTGTTTTTTTTTTTTACATAAGTTCTGGGGATCAAACACAGGTCCTCATGTTTGCACAGCAAACACTTTGGCACCTGAGCTATTTCCTCAGTCCCCTACAACATAAAATTTTAAATTCTATATTTTCATAAGTGAATTGGCACAATGTCTCTTAGTAACAAATGATGATTGTGCTGTATCTGTAAAGGAAGGAAGTATAAAAAGGGATAAGAGCACTTAGGAATAAAATTTTTCAAAATGACTACTATTTCATTGTTTCCTTACAACAATCCAGTCAAATACATAAGAAAGGTACTAATACCTTCTCTATTCTTTCTACATGTGAAAAACTTAGGAACAAACAAGGCCACACCAGCAAGCAAATCTGCCTCTAAAACCCAGGTCCTGATCCTTAGAGGTGGGAATGATCAGTTTCAACAAGGTATTTCCAGATTATTATTGTATTTGCTGATAGTTGTACATTCTTGGATAGTTCAAATTTTGGTAGTAACCTTAAATTTAATAGGGAGAAAAACACAATTGTAGAAATAAGAACTTTCAAAGATGTCTTACCTCTTCAATGTTATAACCACTGTAAAGGGCAGCTAAATATCCACCCACAAAAGTGCCAGCAGGGATCAGGTATAAGTAATTGAATTCTGGAGGATCTGTGGGTCGCTTGAACATATCCAGCATTCTCTGAGTCACCAGGAAACCACCTTATCAAAGCAAGGGAAATACAAAATAGAATGAGCTGTCTCACTGAATAG